CTTCTTCGTAATCAAGCACCTAAATATGATTTTTTGTCGGCTGAAAAATATCCGTTATTTCTCCAATATTATCTGTATTACATATTCGTAAGTAGTATGAGAAGAAGTAAAAAGTTGGATTGAGAAGTTCTGTTTAACAAATTGGTTGAAATATAATATTTTTCATTCCAAGAAACTCAGCAAATGAAATCATGTCGCACATTACATTTCCATACAGTTTGTCCTTATGTAGTAAATTAAGAAAATACATGAAAGATTCCCCATGTGTATTGCATACATAGTTCTGCAACACTATCGCCCAACATTATGCACAGAAAATATTTCCAGATATTTTCAAAACCGCAAAAAGTAAGCCTCTTTTTAAAAAAGGAAGCAAAAATGAAATTCAAAATTACCGACCAATGTCTCTTGAGTCAGTTATCTCTGAAATATTAGAGAGGCTTTTCTATACGCGAGTGGAAACGTTTCTATGGAAAAACGAAGCGTTGTGGACTGAAAACACGGGTTTAGAAAATCAAAATCTACAAAAACTGCCATTTTTTCTTTTATTAAATATATTGCTTTATCAATGGACCAAAATGGAGCACCCATTGGAATATTTTTATATCTTTCGAAAACTTTTGACGTTATTGACCATAACATCTTGCTCTCAAAAGTACCTTCTAATGGAATTCGTGGTAACGCCCTAGATTGAATAAACTCATACCTTAAACATCGATCTCAAAGAGTAGAAATACCGTACCGGCACGAAAGGACATTATTTACTTATCTTTCCAATTCCTTACCAATTGAATACGGGGTTCCGCAAGGCCCGATCTTAGGTCCTATCCTCTTTCTGTTATACGTAAACGATATGCCGTCGTCTATTGAAAACGGAAGAACGGTTCTGTTTGCAGATGGCACGAATGTTCTTTGAAAAAGAAACAATAAATAGTACGATTTTAGAAGTTTCAAATTCGTTTTGTAATAACAAATTAATAGTTAATGAAGAAAAAACAGTTTCAATGCAGTTTTGAATTTCAAATCAGCAATCGCGTGCTCCATTGACAACGAATAACATGCAATTAGCTGATGTTAAGGTAACAAAATTTCTAGGTCTCTCAATTCAGTGAAACCTCAAATGGAATGTACATATAACAAAATTAAACCTAAATTAAGTTCTATATGTTACACATTCAGAATTCTATCAAATAGTGTCACCCTGCATGCAGCTCGTTGTGTGTTTTGCAAATGTACATTTCCGGCTGAGGTATGGTATAAAATTCTGAGGAAGTTCATCATGTAGTACTCAGACCTATATATTGCAAAAGAAAATTACTCGAATAATGATAAAATGTCATCCGCGTGACCCTTGCAAGCCTCTTTTCATTGAGCTTGGAATCTTACTACTGCCTTGCCTATATATTCAAGAATCTGTAATATTTGTCAAAAGTGACTTACTTAATGGTGAGAACATATTTTCATGCAATACTGATATTTATAATTACAACACACGTCGTAAAAATCACGTTCATTAAGTGTCAGTGTCATCAGCTCACTATCAGAAATCCACATACAATATATGTACGTTACTTTACAACGCACTCCAGATGACAGTAAAAAATTGAGGCCGGTTCACAAATTTAAGTTAAAAGTAAAATCTTTTGTGCTGCTTAACTGTTTCTATACAATTAGAGACTACACTGATTATCAAAAAGAACAATAATGTTTATTTTCACGAAACAGTAATATATAATGAATTACTTTACATTTGTATTGTATATTTTTTTAAATAAACTAATATGTTTGTAACAAATAATGTACTTCAGCTTCCGGGACATTGACCCCTATCTCCAGTTTCCCTAATCCATTGAGCAAATGCCCGAAATGACCCCTTGTTTTGCTTCTGGACGTAATTGTAGCTTCACTAGGCGCACGTTTTGTTGAACTCTCCTTTTGCTTGTAATGGTAAGAGTAGAGGTAAGGGCGAGTTGCTATTTTGCTAGCAATGCCGCAAGAGCATATTTGCAATTCGTGAACCGATGCAGATAATTTTTCTCTTACTCGGAAACGAAAATGACTATTTTCAAAAAATTGCTAATCTTGCGATTTTTAAAATTTGTATTTATTTATTTATGTTAAACTTTCAATAGTCTTTCAACTATTTATAGTTAAAATGACGGGAAGGGATGCTGGAACTCAAGAAAAAGGGCGCAGAAAATCTTCTCCCCCCCTACGTCACATACAGTTGTTATTGTATTTTCACTGAAAAATCTAATCTAAACAAGCTATTCCATCCTCGAGAGGCGAAGAAAAGCCGTTAGGGACATTGAGCGCACTTGAGCGAGCGAACGTACGGCGCCCCAGAACGAAGCACTCGATATTGATGACAAACTCATGTCACTGCAATGCCTCTCCCCTGGATGGGCTAGGGTTCAAGTCCCGACGCTAGCAGGATTTTCGACACTAGCCAGCCAGCTAGGTTGAATTCAGGCGCTCTCTACCGAAAAATTCCAGCGGGAGGCTGCTATGAATGGTAATTTTCCTTGGTTTCTTCAATCCATACCAGACGCATGCCGGTGCAGTACCCTCACAAATGGGCCACGGACCACACGCGATCTTTCCTTTCCTTCCCTTGCTCAGCGCTGCCCCTTACACACACTTCTTACACACAAATTCACTTCGGGATGTGATTATGCTCACGCGCCAAGAATCTAGCTATTTGTCTTTCTCCGCACACATAAAATTTGCTCCTACTAAGATCCCTATTGGTCTCTTGACAAGTATGTTAGAGTACGCATGTGAGTGTAAGCATACTCTTAACATACATGTCGTGAGGCCAATCGGGAGCTTAGTAGGATCAAATTTTATATGTGCGGAGGAAGACAAATTGCTAGATTCTTAGCGCCTGAGCATAACCACATTCCGAAGTGAATTTTTTTATGCAATTGAAGATAGTTATGTAACTCATATTTTAGGCAAGGTAAATTTTACAACACGATGCGTCAGTGGTATATTTCAAATATTTGATTATGCCCCTGTTATTTCCATATTCATGAGCAATAGTAAATTACTGACTCGTCAAGCAGAATGTATGCAATAGGACAAATCAATTTGTGATAGTATGAGTAGCAATAAAATTAAAAGTTAAGTTTATTAAGTTATGACTGTTCTGGTATTGAAATTAATAAATTTTAAATATGGTATTTTTTAGAAAGTCAAATTGATAAATATTGTGGGCAAAATGGGTAAATAATGTAATCCAGGTAATTATAAAAATTATTCTTCAATATAACAACGTTTTTGGAAACTGTATTTATATAATAACATATGACCTTTTTTAAAGTACCTTATGAGACAGGTTCCTCAAACGTTATAATGAAAAAAAAGAAAATATTTTAATAATTACGCGTATTATATTATTTTTCCTGTTTGACATTTTGCTCACAATAACTAATAATTTCTGACTTAAGAGCATATTTAAAATAATCTAATTTTAAATTAAAATTGTATATGAAAATTTTTGTAATATATCTAATACATGTTTGTTGTATATTCAATTCCTTTTTATGATTCATCTCTTATTTCAACTCTCTTCTTTCATTTTATCTTTATTCAGATGGATACAAGATGTGCTAGAAATAATACAACACGACTGAATGTCATTCTTGTTAAATATGGCTCGACATGAAGGCAGAGCAAGAAGAAGAGAATTTGACATTTACATCACTGAAACGTGGTTTGCACAGCTAGACGCAGTAAATAATGGTATTCCTACTCCTTTTCACTCCTTCTTAACGAGTACACCGTACTTACCCGAGCGCGCTGGAAAGAGCGGCGAATTCAAGTGACGGCGTAAAAGGAATAACAAGCAATACAGCTTCTGCTCAGCGATAAGGCAACACTATTTCAAAACCTCTGCCCTTCCAAGAGCGCAACTGAGCCACCTCAACAAACAGATGAAGTGCGAGATTTGCAAAGCGCTCCGGCGAGACACAGCTGCGCTCTTTGTTCCATGGAAGAGTCGCAATAATGGAAAGTGCGCAAACCAGAGAAGAAGCGCAAAGAGGTCGGGCAAAGACCGCGACGTTGCCAAACAAAGGAAGTGCCGTGAAGGGGCGCACCCTGTCTTCTGTAGCCCACGTTTTCCTGCAAATCACCAATATTCGCAGAACTCTTTCAGACGCTTCGCTTTGGATTGTGGCTCCTCTTCCCCTCGTTACCTTTTGTTCTCTTTGTCCTCAGTTCCTTCAAATCATCTAGGGAAGAAAAAGTTCGCTAGATTTTAACTTTCCCTGCGTATCATGAGAAAATAGTTTAGTGAGGCGAGCATTCGATAAAAAATATTACCAATCATTCTAATTTTCTAAGTGTTGAAATGAGTTTTCATTTTCCGCAACTCAAGATTCTGGAAAAACTCAAGTTTGCAAATGGAATGACAAGAAACTGAAATCACTAACTCTGGATATAGTGAAATACGAATTCGAATGTTTTGTACTCGACGTTCAAAATCGTTTCGTTGTACAATTTAAGAAAAGTTAGTAAATTAAACAAATACAAAATATAATAAAACAGTGTCTATGAATATTTTAGTATAAGATTTTCTAATGCAATTTGTTAAACCAATACAAGCAAATATATTCCAAATTTTAAGTGAAATTATTCCATCTAAAATTTTGTCATGAGAAGCGTATTTAAAACTTTTCACAAAATTGATTCAGAGATGTGTTTTGCAGTAAGTAAATAAGTAGTGAAAAACTGTAAGTGAACATTTAATTTTAATACGTTCTCATACTCAAACATCAACATCTTGATAATACCATACTACAAAAAAAGGAGTCTTTATGAATGTAAGAAACTGAAACCATGGAAAACAATCTGCAAGGACTCTCTTCATTTAAAAGAATCGTAATTGAACACAGGAAAACATCACAATGTGGAATAATTTTTCAAAGAAATTAATCACAAGCACATTAAAAGTTCACAACACACTAATAACGAAATGATCTGGTGCGAACTTTTTACTTTTCACCAGAATAACGGTAAATCACAACAATAAGACCAATCATAATGAGAGTCATCACACAAATGTAGAACATCATTTTTCGATGTTGCCACCAAGCTTTTCGCCTTACTCTCTTGGATTGTTTTTCAAACTGTGTTGCACCCATCTGCAAGGCTTCGCTTCGATTATCCAAGCATGCCAGATGTTGCTCCCTTTCCAGTACTTTTTCCACATTTACTTGCATGATTCCAACCACTTCTTCAACTTGAGCTTTCACCATCGCCAAATGGTTTTGGGTCTCATCCTTTTGTGGGGATTCACCTCCTTGAGAACCAAACGCATTCTCGTGAAAATACGGTACATTATTTTCTCGAAGCATTGTAACACTGTTTAATTCTTCTAATTAATAAACTTTTTCGGAATCCACAAAGAGCATAAACAAATCCACAAATGTTTCATACACTTTAGCTTGGGCTGCATGTTTAGAAGACATCCAAAACAAGAAACAATTACAAACAAAAAAGAAACGAACACAAAGATGATAGCTCACCAACAGTTTTGTGCATTACCACCAGGTGGCTGTGGCATAAATACGAGTACAATGATTGGCATGATGTTGTAAATTTTATAAGAGTTATTGAATAATCAACTAGTGTCAATCAATTGTATTACAAATGTTTTCCAGCTACAATGTATTTTTCGTCATGTTTAATTATTCTGATAAAAATTAAATATAGACAAATTGAATTAAAATATTTAACTACATATAGTATTCATCAAGTAAAGTTTTTCCTAGAAAAAATCACCTCTGTTGATTCAATATTTGACATTATTTATTTCTTCAATACAAACTGTTACAACTATATATGATATATGAAGGGAAGAGTATAATCTGCTCTACTCTTCTCATTCCCTAACAACTCTTTTACTACCCGTTGTTGAACGATGACTAAAGATACAAACAAAGCATGATTAGCAACATCTGAAAATTAGAAATCTTGAGTTGCAGAGTAATAGATAACTTAGTTACATCGCCAAATGCTCTAGTGATTTGATTTTATAGTATTACTAACAAAATAGCAACCTACCTCCTCCGCCACTACTCGTACTACCAATTAGCAAAGGAGAACTCAACAAAACGTGCGCACAATAAAACCATATTGTTATATCCAGAATCAAAACATGGACACATGTCACCATAAGCTCATGATGTAAGAAAAACAACAAAAAAATCATATCGAGATCAGGATCAAAATATACGGAGGCATAGGGAGATCGAGATATATGTTTGCAATACTATAGACCTTTGATATATCACTACAATGAGCCCTAAGGAAGTAACTGTTGCGAGTGTAGTTTTGGAACACAAAAGAAATGGATTTTTAGAGAAGGAATCGTCGGCTACATTTGCAGTATATTTTAAAATTAACAATCATCGACATTCACATTTCACAGCATTAGACTAATAGTATCTATAACTAAATGTATACTGAACTTTACTTTAAGTAAACGTGAAGAATGGTGTACAAAATGCGCAACTTTATCATAAATGTAACAATTTATGAACTATTGAAATATAATAAAGCTAAATGACCTTACATAACTCTGTAATATGTTGCAAAGGTATTTACTCGAGGAGTAGGGTCGTGTTTAGCAATTTTATTTGTAGTTCAGGGTACTTAACGTCATTTGGTATAAAGACATTTGTACCTTCGGTCTTATTGCATAATTTTCTTTAGAATCGGACTCGCAACAGACTGACAACAACTTAACAACCATTGCGAAACCGCATACTGTTTGCATAGCCAAAACCGTTTAAATAACACCAAGAAAGTTACAGCTGTTAATATACCCAACGCCCCCTAAGAAGCATGAGAATTAATTATTTCTATACCTGCTTGTAGTGACGCACTCTATTTGCGGTAGGACGTGGCCACAAGGCCTTAGTGGAGAAGTGTTGGAGGTTAGGCTTTGTGACGTCACGCTTAGAATCTTAGATTCCTTCTACCTCAGACTATTTATGATTTTCTGGTGTACGCTGTGGTGCGCAGACTGGCGAGATTTATGCGATTAATTATTAATTAAAGATTCGCTCCTCGACGAGCAACAACTAGAAGTACTATTAAAAGTTGCTTTGTTCCGATATTGTTTTCTTTATGCGCGGCAAGTGGAAAACATTATTCAACGTTTTGTTGAAGGGCTAACACGTTGCTGTGTACCTAATTGTAGAGGGATGTTGGTGTACAGTGAAGAGTGAAGACGTGTCCTGTTAGGTTTGGTGTGTGTTTTACGAGTACCAGTATTTTCGTTATCAGCAGTTGTTCGGTGAAACTTTCAAGTCAGCGCGTTCAGTCACATAGCCTTCTCAAGAGTAAAAACTCTTTTTTTTCTACTTTTGTGACTATCACGAAAAGAGAAAAGCTAACTGTCAAAGAATATTGAATATTCAAATAGTTTTAAGGGAGTGTTCTAAGAAATAACTGGATAATACTGAATAAATCTTTAGTGAAAATTTCTTTTCCACATCAATTGCATTGTTTTTTTATTTTTACTGTATATTGTGTTACTACAATGGATGTTACAGTTATACATTTTAAACAAATAAATACGTTTCGTTGACAACTTTCCCTCTTAAAAGAGAAGGATAGGGAAGAGTGTGGGGTTTTAAATGTGAGAGTTCTCGCACGGGTACGCGGAGGTAGTTGGGGAAAACGTGTGCTATGGTACAACACTAAGAACAAACGTTTTAAAATAAATAAATTAAACTAACACGAAAAAAATGAACAACAACAATCAAAACGCGATAGCTTATAATACTACGTGAACTAATTTAAAAAACAAACCACATTTAAAATTATAGAAAAAATAGCGCAAGGAATTCGACAACTGCCCAACGACCACAATTCAAACGCATGAATACGCACGCAATTGGAATGCGAATTTTAAATGTTTTATCTGGAAATATGTACATCAATTCACCATTCTTCGACCGATAGTGGTGGCGAGAGGTAGTCAAGAGCTCTGCTGTACGACCCTGTCAGATCTGTAGCGATAAAAACGTGACTTCGTAGTTCGCCACTCCAATAACAGAGTGGTAGGAAGCCACGCGTCGCATCGCGACAAAACTAAATCATTATCTAGTGAAGTAAACCACACAAGTGCTACTGATAAATAAGTCATCGAAATAATTCAGGTGAAGTGCGACTCATTGTTAGTGCAAATTAGTGTAGTGAATGGTACGCAGCTATGACTTCCAACAAGTGAAGTCGTAAGTGCTGCTTTGCTTGTTCTTAACAGCAGTGAGAACCAGCTAGCTACAATGGAAACTTTCATCCCAGATAACCTAAATCAATTCACCGAAGAGGAAATGGAGGTAACGCTGGAGAACATCAGTCAACATAACACCCCCGGTGCCGATGGCAAGAAACCGATTCAACTCAACCAACCCTCCACCGTTCAACTACCACAAAAATACTCCTCAGACTCCAGAAAAAGGTAAGTGACAGACAATGATATAGAGCGTGAACCCAAACAATTCAGTTACAATGATCAAATCACCAAATCTAACCCTCTATTATGTAATGTGCCGATGAAAAACACGTTCGGACCTCTAAGTGAACTTGATAAGCAAGCAACCGAAAATAGATTCGCTCATATCAATGACCTGCCTAGTAATCAAAGTGAAACCCCCAATAAAATACCAGCAATCATAGTAGCAGACATCACCAATATTAATGCATTCATCAAAGAACTTCAATCTAAAGTCAACACAAACTTCATTGCAGATCAAAAAAACAAAAAACAAAAATATGTGCAAATTCACCCACAGACTTTCGAAACTAAATCAAGTATTTAATTAACACTCATCGAAGTTTTCATTTCTTTAGAGACCCACTAAATAAAATGAATCAGTAGTGTTCAAGATGTCAATCAATCCATTAATGACCAAGAAATATATAAAGATCTAAAACGTTTTCCCTCGCTGATAAAAATCAGTTTCAAAAATCGTTACAGTTGGTAACCATCACTCTAACCCAAAATCGGTTGAAGCAGGCCTTCCCCAAGGCTTCCCAGTATCTCCTGCTCTTTACAACTCGTAGGTAGCCGACATACCGAAACATAGTAAAATAACAAACGCCCAATTTGTAGATGACACGACTATATATTCATCAGGTCCCATCATAAACTCAATAAAAATCGATCTTCGATTACACCTACACCAAATTGACAGCTGGGCAGGCAAAAATAAAATTAAAATAAATCCGTCAAAAACAGCAGCAAAAATATTTTCCTTGTGACCTTACGACCGCCAACTCCCTTACAGATGAATCAACAATCTGTACAATGGCATCATCATAATAAACCCATAAAATATCTAGGCCTTTTCTAAGACACCAGACTCAATTGGAAAAAACATATCGACTATAAATTTATTTAAGCAAAAATAAAATTACCCCAACTAAAACCAATAATAAATAAATCAGCTAAACTATCATACAATACTGCCTTATTGCTGTATAAAACTATCATACGACCACTACTATTATATGCATGCCCAATTTGGATCAGCGCAGCCAAATATAAAATAAACTCCAAGTATTCCAAAATCAGTTCAACTGCACCATCACGAATACCCCATGATACATCTCCAGTGCTCAACTCCATAAAGAATTCCAGCTAGAACCGATAACCAACCCTATCATTTAAGTATCCACCCACTTCTTCCAGAACATCCCAAATATACCCAACCTAACCCGCTAAGACTCAGTCAAAATCCAATACATTGAACCCGTATCAAGAATAAATTTCTTTTCCATACATTCCTAAATAAATTCTCAGATCTCTAACCAACGTAGAGATATTATATGAAGATACCTCTACCACCCTAGTATTAATGTAAGTTGTATTTTATAATTATTAGTAAGATAATTTTAAATTAATTATAAGTATATGTATAGGCAATTATAACAAATATAGAATGTATTAACACTGATCTTTGTATTGTCTTATCCAAATGAATATAAATAAATAACAAAATAAAACATCAATGTCAACTTGTAAACTCAAATATTGTATATAATACACCATTTCATATTAAGCAAAAGGCGTCGGATCGCTAAGATATTCAATATGTAAAAACCTTTGAGCAACATTCCCATGTACCGAAGTGAAGTCTACGCGTATAGAATTGTTTCTAATGGTAACAAATGGTTTTTATTACATAAATGTGAAAATATTAGTTTTATTATTTTGGGGCCGAGAAATCAGATAATTTTTATAATACAATTAATTTTACAATTTTCGCACCCCAGCAAGCTGGCACCCTGCCCCTTCAAAACCCCTTTTATTCCCCATAAGTTCATGGAAGGGTTGTACATG